AGCAGGCAGGACTGGCCTAGGGGGTATTTTAATTGGTTTTAACAAAATTTTAATAGAGCGGCCAATTCAAATATTTATTTTTAATTATTTTAGATTTGTATTTGGTATTATGTGGGATTGTTTTAAACTGGCTGTAAGCCGCCCTGAGTCCTCCGGGAGAAGGGCGGGGTATAAATGAAATAAATAAATAAATAAATAAGGAAACTAAGATTACTTTCATTGAATGGCATATCAGTCATCGATTAAACTTGCCTGAACTATTTCTTCACTCAAAAGCTTTGGATCTATTTTTATCACCTAAACCTTGGAATCCTACCAAGCAGAGCCATTCAACTTAGTGCATATCTTTCCTTTGGGAATTTGTACGTAATGGGATAGACCTGACAAATCCTCCTTGACCCTGTTCGGTTCTTTGTTTTCCTTGTTCAGGAGGGTCTGGTGTCCTTCGAGGAGGTGGCTGTGTATTTCTCCAAGGAGGAGTGGTCTCAGCTGGATTCTGACCAAAAAGCGCTCCATCAGGAAGTCATGCTGGAAAATTATAGGAATGTGGCCTCTCTGGGTAAGCAAGTTTGCTATTCGCCCATCAGAGAGTTTAGTAATTAAATGCCATCCGCTGTTTCTTATTAAAAGGTCTCCAAAAAGATATCCTCTCTTGGCAAGAAGCAGGAAGAGATCTAGCCTTTTTCTACTCTGAGGAAGTATCTATCTATCTATCTATCTATCTATCTATCTATCTATCTATCTATCTATCTATCTATCTATCTATCTATCATCTATCTATCTATCTATCATCTATTTACCTACCTACCTACCCATCCATCCATCTATCTATCTACCTACCTACCTACCTACCTACCTACCTACCTATTCCATTCAGGGGATTCTTCCCCCCCCCCCCCCCCAATTTTCTCCAAGGCTTCCTTTTGTAAGTTCTGCCCAGAAAATGCAGGGACATCTGAGGATGAATGAACATACCCCGTCTGAGTACTATTTTTTTCAGTGCAGGGCTCCCTCCTTGAAATGAGTTCCCAGGTTCAAATCCACCAGCATGTCCAGATTGAAATTAAACCAATGGGTTCCCCATCATCAAGCCCATTATTATGCTTGCTTCCTTGGAACTGAATCTAGAGCAGTAGACCGGATGGTGCCCCACCACAAAAGTCTAAATCAGAGGTCCCCAACTTTTCTGGGTTGGCGGCCCGGAGGGAAAGGGAGAGACAGGTGTGCGAATGGGGCTGCATGGACGAAAAACGCTCACAGCAACGCTAAGGTCCGTGTGATGCTCGTGACGATGTTAGCACCCACACGACACTTATGGCAATGCTAAGGCCTGCGCGATGCTCATGGCGATGTTAGCGCCCATGCTATACGGCGATGCTAAGACCCACATGACGCTCACAGTGAGGCTAGTGCCCGCATAACACTCATGGCAACACTAGCGCCCCAGCAACGCTGATGGTGACGCTAACATGAGTGGGAGGGTGAGTGCATGCACACACACACATGCACACTGGCAAGCCACTCACGTGGCCAGGTGGCCAACAGACATGACCCGGTAGAGGGTTGGGTCCCACAGGTTGGGCACCCACTGGTCTACATGATCTTAATAAGGGAGAATATTTGCAGCTCATGGTTGAAATGAGGGATCCTTGGTTCTTTCTGAGCTTGGTTGTTTTCTTGCAGGAACTTTTATTAGGGGCTAGTGATAGCAGGGAAAACAAGGCGAGGTCTGAGGAAAAATCTGTGGAAGCGATATAATAAAAGCATTATTCACTATTCCTCCCCCCAGAATCCAGTGTTCATTTGATTCCAGCCAATACACAGGTGGAATAGTGTTTTGATCACTGGGCTCTTTGGCACGTTCTTTCAAGGTCTCTCTGGCTTTCGTTTCCTTCTGGCTCCAAGCGCAACCATCTCTCAGATAAGGGTGATGCATTCCATCCCCTGGGGATGGGCACCATAGCCGGACAGTGCAAAGTATCCCCAAGACATCCCCCCTCCCAACAGAATGGCAGGCCACAAAGAAAAGTTACAGATTCAGGAATAGGCATAAGGAGACAATAATATTCTCTGGGGACCTGACACCAGTACCAGGCATCGCCCCATGTTTTGAACATACCCTGATAGACACAGGCAGAGGAATCACAAGCAAAGATAAAAGGAAGAAGATTTGAGAGGGTGAGGGCATAATTTTGATTAATGTTCAAACAAGAGATGCAACAATGAGGAGGCCTGATTCTGTTTGCACCTCACTTTATGTCAGTTATGACAAACCTTTTAGAGACTGAGTGCCCAATAAGCGCCCCCGTCCCCCCACCTTTCCCGCCCCCCGCCCACCGGCAGGGCCACCCACTGCAGATCGCCCAGGTGGCCCAAAAGCGCAATGGCAGCCACACCCTCCACCCGCATCCCGCAGCATCAACTGCACGCGACAGGGTGAGAAGGCGGAGTCTTGTCCCCCCCTGCCTTGCTGCCATGTCCTTGGCTGCTCTGCTCTGTGCAGGCTGCGCTCGGGGGTGTCTCTCCTCTGGGGGCCTGCTGATGACGGGGCCGTCGGGGGAGGAGGGGCTGGGACGACGGCACATGTGCCCACAGAGAGGGCTCTGAGTGCCACCTCCGGCACGTGTGCCATAGGTTCGCCACCACTGCTTTATGTCAACTTTTCTTCTTTTTTTTCTTTTTTTTCCTTTTTTCTGCTCCAAGCATGTGGTGAATGGGAGATGAAGGATTCTGGCCACGAATCAGCAGCACCATTTCAAAAAGGCAGAATGAAGCACGCAGAGACATTTTTTGGAAAGCAAAGTTCTGACGGAAAATTATTAAAGGGGGAGCTAGAGAAATGCTCTACTTTACCACATGTTGCTGTCAGTGACTTCTCGGGCAAAGATGATCAGCCAGAAAAAAAGGCTTGGCCAGAGTGTCGAAAAGTACCTGCAGACGAATCAGGATTATACGACTGTTGCAGAAGCCACACGATAGAGAAACAAAATGAATGTGGAAAACGTTTCCGAAGGACCTTCTCCGTTACTTTGCCTCAGAGAATACAAGGAGAGAAACCATATAAATGCCTGGATTGCGGAAAAAGCTTCAGAGATTCAAATTATCTTACTTCCCATAAAAAGATCCACACAGGAGAAAAACCGTACAAATGCAGGGTATGCGGAAAGGGCTTCTGTTTTCCACAAAGCCTCACTTCCCATTTTA